GCTGACATTTTTGACACACCCACCAAACAAGAGAAAACGCATCTCAAACCCTGTTGCACATGTTGAACATGTCATTCAAACCGGAAACCGTAGCAAAACGTTACGCACCGGTTTGAGCTTGAACGTGCCCCTGTTTCGAGTCTTCGGGTTTTCCGAGTCGTTCATTCATCACGTGACAGCCCCATAAGCTTAACCTATGCAGTCTGAGCCGGAGGTAAGGTGAGCTAATCATAGACTGAAGACCCAGGTAAACAATTAATTAATCTTTTCTGTTTCTTATAGCATTATAGTTTTGTATTGTTTGTAGTGTGATCAACGTTTGCGTAAGTAGTAGACGTGTTAGGGAAGTAACACAAAACATTTTAATCATATTTTGCTAAAATGAACGAAATGACTCGAAAAAAGATTCGTTCATTTTGCTGAACGAGACTCAAAGATCCGAGTCGGTAAAATGATCCGAACTTCCCAGTGTTCGGTGACGTCATCGCTTGTTTTTCTCCTATTAGCTCATACAATACAAATATTTAATTTTGTATGTGAAGCTTTACCAGGTGTGATGTTTGTTGTTTTTCCTGTCTTTTATGTATCTGTTTATTGTTTGATGCATATAAAAGTCATATAATGCAAATAACAGTTAAAATAAAGCATTATAAAGTCTGACAATCTATAAATGCAATCTATAACTAATACCGAATGTCTTCTCTTTTTTTAGCATGTTTTATAATAATTCCAATATTTATTTTTAAATAAATGTAAGGTACTTATTTTTTATCAATGAAAATCTCTCCCAAATAATCAGTTCTGCATTACGAGTTTAATTTAAATATATTCAGTAATTTAGTTTGTTTTGTTTTGTAATTGTATTGTTACTGAAATAGACAAAATAGCGTTTTATATAAATAATTGTGATAATAATAGAAATATAAATAATATAATGTATATATTATATAAAACTATAGTATAATATATTACTATAAAATATAGAAATAATAACTATTTGTCTACTTAATTAATCATCATATAAGCCTACACATCATTATGAACATTTATGAAGTGATTTAAGTACAAATAAAATATATGATATGTATCGTAGCCAAAATAAAAGATTTCTGTAGTCTGATAAAAGCTGCTCTTCTGACTCTCATATTTAATCAAGGCAAGGTTTATGAAGTTTAAAACTCTATTTGTTCATTTTAAACGGCACTTTCGCTTGTTTTTTTTTATCCACAAACTACCAACTACATATTTGAGCGAATAAACTATAAAACCACCCTAAGTATTTATTTAATCAACCATCTAATTAAAATGAATGAACATTTCGCTGATAAATTACTGTTATAGCGATGAGCGTGTCGAATCGGCGCTAGTGAACGCACAGATGAGTAACGCACGCGGCTCCGGCACGCAGCGCTAGCGTGAAGGCGTGAGAAATAACTCACAAAACCGCTGGAAATCACCGTCGAATCAGCGACAAAGCGCCCGGACGCGACAGTAAGACGCTCGCTCGTGTTTGTGTGGGAAGCGGCAGGCGGAGCTGTGTCAGTGTGTGAGTGTGTGTTGTGTCAGTCAGCTGATGAAGGTGTTTGATCGGTGTGTTACAGAGCCTCAGTCATGAAGACGAACACCTTCTCGCGGGATTTAGGATAGCGAGACAGAAGAACACACACACACTGATCATGGGCTCGTCTCTCAGTGAACCCTGCATCTATGATAAGCTGTCCGAGAGCATCGACATCCTGCGGCAGTCCGGTTACCGGTACGGGATGAGCGAGAGAGAGATCGAGAAGTTCATCAAGCAGGTGCTGGAGACCAACGAGCCCCGCAGAGACCCGCCGCAGTTCCCCATCCTGAGAGCCACTGTCAAGGTACAACACACACACGCTCACAACACACACAACACTCATGCTCACACTCACAACACACACACGCTCACAACACTCATGCTCACACACAACACGCACACACACACACAACCCACACACACACGCTCACA